GCAACGAACATGCTAACATTAAAATCAGTAAGCCTTTTTAAATTTGTCATGATGGTTCTATTAATAACAACCTTTGATTAGTGTTCATTATAAAACTAGAAAAATGGAAAGTGAAGACTAGCAATAAACCGGTTTCAGATCAATACTAGACTGTTATACCGGTCAGCCTTAAGTTCGAATCGATACTGGTTCCATCAATCTCAAATATCATGACAGATAAGTTTCGAACAGATCATGAATCGTGATACACTCTAAAAGAATCGACGCTTTACAGTACCCCCAAAAAAGGTTCCGGAGATTTCAAAAAGCATCCAAAGGTGTCCAAAGTTTCAAAAAAAGATAAAAAAATCTATGAAACCTTTAATGGTTCTCACCGTGTGCCCCGGATAAGAACCTTCTGCTACGAAACCTTTCTTTAACTTCCGTAGAACAGAAAAAGGTTTCGTAGGCGAAATACGAAACATTTAGTTTCATATTAAAACCAAATGGTTTCGTACTAAACCCTCATGATGTCGTAGAGTTTGATGCGAAACTCTAAAGGTTTCGTAGATTTTTTTATCCTTTTTTGAAACTTTGGACACCTTTGGATGCTTTTTGAAATCTCCGGAACCTTTTTTGGGGGTTCTGTAAAGCGCCGATTTTTTTAGAGTGTAGACAGGTATTGACTATCATAGACTTCAATAGTCAGATTTTCAAAGTATCGATGACGGTGACAGACCATTCCAGACGGATTTCTAAAAAAACACAACATATTTTTCACGTCTACTAAAAGCTATCACAATAGACAGAAGGTTTTTCACATTTCTAATTTCAAAGGTATCCGCTTACAGCTTCTTCTTCGTGTTGTTTTTATGACACTACCTAGTTTTTTTTAAGTCTTGATGAATCTTTGTTTTCATCTTAAAGATATATGGTTTCAACAAATAAACGAGATTAAACAATCAATTCGATAGAATTTATGTCACATTTTCTGAAGTTAGTTAACAAAGGACGGGGGACGTTTTCAACAGAATTCGGCCCAATTCAAAATAATAGTAGATTCTCATGAAAATTTCACCAATTGTCTCACACAAAATAACTAGTCACTGCTATAAATTCCAGCTCGGTCTATAGAAGTTTTCCGTTACTGGTTGCCATCGTGAAAGTCGACTCATTTTGACGCTGTACGACAAGTATGTCTGCCCTTCACCTCCGTCATGCAATGCAGACCCGAAGTGACCTTTCATAATCGATAGCACTCATGAAGTACTACAAAATTCGCTTTCGAAGCTTCTATAAGGAGCTACTACTCGAATTGAATGAAAATATGGGCTAGTAGGAACCTTACCTGTGTTTTACTTCTGCTATATTGTTTGAACCTAGATAGCTTATGGAAGATGAGTAAGTATCATGAAGAAGTAGAAAATCTGAAATTTATAACTTTGTCGTAGTCGAGTATCTTCTCTCTCGCTGTAAAGTGATGCAGTGGATTGGAGACATTAGTGAGCATTATAAAAGATATAATGCTTTTAAATTTTTTCAACAAAAATTGAATTTAATTGGACAGAGTTGTAGAACTATTGTAAAACTATAACCTTTACACTCGTGATTCACAGAGTGTATTATGCGTGAGTATTATGCTGTCACATCTAAGTATAAAGTTTTCTACTTTGATTTTAGAGTTGTAGTTTCGTTTGTAATGATAGATAGCACATGTTTGCATGATTATCTATGGAAACAGACCTGTCAATTGTCGTGCAGAAGCTTTTACCCTGTAGCACTACGCATACTGATCAAATGATATTGAAGTATGATCTTTATGTTTGCTTAGTGAGCCTAAAACTACTGAAGAATATCAGTGGCAACGCGAGCAGTATTTGGGGAAGGGTGCTGATTCTACTTTGGAAAAATATGAACACAATTTTCTCTAATTTAGGATAAATTTCACAATTTTCTTCGATTTTGGAGGATATCGCTATACATTGTTTTCCAGTTTTGGAGAACATCAGTAGACGATTTTCTCGTATTTCGGAATTTTTGGTGACTTTCTTACGTTTTGGAGCGTCTTCCATGCTCCTTTCACTGGTTGGTGTCACGCCAGACAATATTTCATTATTTTTTTTTCTTTTTCATTTTAGAACAGAACGAAGTGTTTCATTATCTTTGTCAGATGAATCAACGGAGTCAACCACCAAGTCACTGTCCTCTAAATGTTTCAAGTGCGAAGCGGATGATTGGTACGTCAGAATCGCTTCGCAAGGATGTTGATGTGCCAATAATCTATATTCTTAGATATTGAGAAAATCATGTGTACCTTTTTATGAATGATACACCCCTCCTGATTCAGATATCTACGTTTCCCCATTATGGAATTTCTTCTTATTCTTTATACGGATAATTAGAGTAGTCAACGAGAACGATTAGATATTACGACGTTCATAAAAGCATTAGTGCAATGTTAGGTCATAATAAGAAAGAATACCCTCTTGATATTATCTGCACGTCATCAGGTCAAGTATGATAAATATAGGATCAAGAGTTTATGTCAATCAATGAAATAATCGAAATGGCCAAAGTTATTCTTTATTTAGTTCATAATTTCCTTTTATGGTAATGAATAGAAATATACAAGAAAATAGAGAAAGAGAAAAGAGCGAGAGTATAAAAGAACGGTGATATAGTGAGAATAGGGGGGGGGCGTAAAGTAAAACAAAAGGAGAGATAATTCTGGAGCAGGATTGAGAAGGAGTGATATAGATAATTTAAGGGAGAGAGTTACTGAGTTAGAAATATTAAATAAAAGTTATAACTTAGAATTGTGAAACGATAATCGTTCAGCATTTATTATTATTGTGCGTATTGTAATTATTTATCGATTTTATGTCAACGTGTTATTATCTGTGTGTGCTCATATTGTTATTAAAATGAATATCATCAAAACCCGTAACGTTATATTTTGATTTATCAATTCATCCAGAACCAAAGAATAATAACTCACAAAATATTTCGTTACAGTTGATATATCAAAAACCGAATGAAACAGCCTCGAAGTGACCAGATACCAACTTTTCCATCTCTATTTGGACAGCCACATCAGCTATTCTTGACTTCGTTTTCAATAAATTGAACATAAGCCTAATACCATTTTTAATTACTTTGACCAGACTTAAATCTAACTGCGCCCAGTTCAGCATCAGCGTTCAGTAGGAAAATGGTACGATCATTCACTTCAAAACGCAGGTTATTCTTGGCATCTTGTCTTTGCAGTTTTGCAGCACTTGATAAGTCCTATTGATGGTGAAAAAATCGTTCTGGGCTGCATTCCATGATGGAGCTGAAAGATGGAAGTGGTTACTTTTTCACGTTCTTTTCTTAAGTTTCAGCGATAGCTTCTTATAGAAGCTTCGAAAGCAAGTTTTTCAGGCCATCTTGTCGTTGCAATTTTGTAGTACTTCATGAGTGCTATCGATTATGAAAGGTCACTTCGGGTCTGCATTGAATGACGGAGGTGAAGGGCAGACATACTTGTCGTACAGCGTCAAACTATAACCTTTACACTCGTGATTCACAGAGTGTATTATGCGTGAGTATTATGCTGTCACATCTAAGTATAAAGTTTTCTACTTTGATTTTAGAGTTGTAGTTTCGTTTGTAATGATAGATNCGATTTTCACGATGGCAACCAGTAACGGAAAACTTCTATAGACCGAGCTGGAATTTATAGCAGTGACTAGTTATTTTGTGTGCGACAATTGGTGAAATTTTCATGAGAATCTACTATTATTTTGAATTGGGCCGAATTCTGTTGAAGACATCCCCAGTCCTTTCTTTTGTATTCATAAAAAAACAGTTGTCTAGCAGCAATCCTGCCATAATCGCCCCTCATGAAAATTTATAACAATAATAGGATCATAGAATCGTTCACATTTCATGCGTTTAATAGATTATAATGTAGCAATCTATATTTGCACTTAAAAACAAATGCAATAATATTATAAAATATATCTATATGACTTTAAAGGAAACAGCGCCTTATATCTATTGGCCACTATGTTCATGACAGCTTTTCAACGGATAAAAAAAATAAAAGGTTATGGCCTCATAAAAATGTTATGGCTTCCACATAGTCAATGTATTAGAAGACGTCGCTCAAACCGTTTTCCCGTGGTCTGTACAAATACAGAATCTAGCTCCATGCTTACCACTATCAATAAACGATAAACATTTTATTGAGACTAGAGAGATAGTCTACTCAGAAAATGTTATCACCATATCTAAATGACTATGAGTATCACATGTCAAATCAAATTCGAACATTTGGGCACCAAATCCAAACATTGGAGTTTGTTGCATCCCTAGCCATAGCTGACCACAATTGTTTAATGATCTCTAAATGGGGGCCCGGTGTATCAAGTAGGACTATGATAGTTCAAGCTCACCAGAACTGTTTGAACAGTTAAGCGCAGCTCCGAAAATCGATAAAATGTCTCATATAGGAGTATCTTCAGGACCTCAGGTGCTATATTTTAGGAGTACCCTTGGGGAGGCATAGGTGTGGAGTGAAAGGTTTTTGCGGTTGGGATTATCGTTTGCGAAACCATAATGGTGTTGCCGGAATAGACAAATTTTGTCTCAAAATATTAAATGTACAGTGAGTCGAAAAATTATTCGTCCACCTACTATACTTGTCTTGATTTTTCTGACTTTCTCTTTTGGAAGAGAAGTTAGGAACTTTAATTAATACCACATGATGGCACATGATCTATAGTACATATATATATACTTTCAGCTTATTATCTATTTTTCTTCTCGTGTTATCGAAAACTTCATTGATACATGCGGCTTTTTACTAACGAAAAATTATTCGTCTACTTTACCAGAAAAATCTTCTCCTTTCAAGGTGTGTAGAAAGGACGTTATCTCTTCATCAGAATCATCTCGAATGTTCTTCTACAAGATTCTAGAAAAAAGAATTTTACTATAAATAGAAATTTTGTTGCTGAATTTACTAAATATATTTTATGGCTCTCAAAAAGAAGGAACATAGCAATGATATTAGAACTCTGGTAATAAAACATTATCAGAACGGTGACTCGCAACGTGATATACTATCCAAAGCATTACTTCCTCGATCTACAGTGGAATATATAATCAAAAAGTACAAAATGACAAAATGCATAGGGAATCTATTGGGACGTGGTCGAAAACGGAAAACAACAGCAACAACAGATCGACTGATCCAACGTAAACTCAAGCTTAACCGGCGAAAATCAGCGTCGGCAGTGAAGATTGAAATTGAAAAGGAGCTGGGGATTTCACTTCATACTCATACTATTCGTAAAAGAGCACATGAATGCGGATTATTTGGTTGGGTAGCTCGTAAGAAGCCATACGTCACCAAGGGTAGTTGATTAAAACGACTCAAGTTTGCTAAAGAAATGCTCAAGAAACCTGTGGAATATTAGGAAAGGGTTATCTGCTCCGACGAATCAAAGTTTAATATTTTCGGCTTCGATGGCAAAGTTATGGTCTGGAGAACACCGCATGAAGAGTTTGAATCCAACTGCACAGTACCAACAGTGAAGCACGGTGGCGATTCAGTAATGATTTGGGGTTGTTTTACGAAACAAGGGGTCGATAAACTATGTATTTTGGATCAGACCATGAACGGATTTTACTACCGTGATATTCTCCAAAAATCTGTTGCCATCGATTAAGCAATTCTCGTTCGGGCAGCAATGCATCTTTATGCATGATAACGACCCTAAACATACGTCCAAATTAGTCAAAGATTGATTGAAGAAAAAAAGGATTGAAACGATGCCTTGGCCACCTTATTCACCGGACTTCAACCCAATCGAAAATTTATGGGAAAAATTAGAACGCCGAGTGAAAAAACACTCGCCAAAAAAAGCAAGAATTAGAGTGTGTGCTGGTGCAAGAATGGTATAAAATCGAGCTACCTGTACTTCACAAGCTTCTAGAATCTGCTCCTAGTAGGCTGTACCAATACATCAAAACGAAAGGGTATGCCACTAAATATTAGAAACTGTTAACGTTTCTGTTAGAAAATAAAGTTTGTATTCGCGACGTGGACGAATAATTTTTCGTTAGCAAAAAGCCTAATGTATTGATGAAGTTTCGATTACACGAGAAGAAAAACAGATATTAAGCTGAAAGTGTATATATATGTGCTATAGATCATGTACTATCATGTGGTATTAATTAAAGTTCCTAACTTCTCTTCCAAAGGAGAAAGCCAGAAAAATCAAGACAAATATAGTAGGTGGACGAATAATTTTTCGACTCACCGTAGGTTTCGAATTCAGAAACCGACACAGCTATCAAAAGCATTTATGGTTTTGTATGGTTTCTCACGATGACCGAGATCGAACCGGATAGCACCCTATGCATTAAGTAGTTTTTGAACCGAGCAGATATTAGCAACTATCGGAGCGTTCTTAATGTTTGCGAAGTAATGAGGATAGTAGCTGCGTTAGTGACAAGGTCCTGTCGAATACTATTGATACTTGTGTGATACTAGCGAGGTTGGTTGAAATTTTAGCCACTCTAATGTCACTTGAACATCTTCAACTATTATAGTTTTCTATGCTTGAATTAGTGACAATATATATTTAACTTTTACAAGGCAATGAATAAGGATATGGTGAATTGGCCCGATAAGATTTTTTTGTCCTGCTGGTTTGAAAAACCTGAATAAATTAATGCGCTTCTTTGGCACGTAATTGGCGTTATTATTAAGTTCAGCGACATATCTTATATTACCTCGAGGTCTGGTATTGATTCAATGCATGCGTGCAACAAACTTATTTTTCCAGTAAGTGTAGTTACAAAAAAGTTGATGAAAGAAATCAATGGGAACATGGGAATGAAAAACAAGTAGCTCATAATAGGAGGTCATGAATTAGTATAAGACGAGTAAAAATAGCGCTTGAATTCCTAAGGTACCCCTAAGGCTACTCTTAATATATACCACTTGAGGTCCTAAGGGTACCCTGTAGGATAGCTCTTGCCAGTTGTCTGAGCTGAGCTGAACTGTTCAAACAGTTCAGTTCAGTTCGACAGAACTGTTCGAACAATTCACCAGTTCGGAACTGTTTCCGAACTGTTATAGTCCTAGTAGGGATGGGACAGGGGACTAGAATTTATGGCAAATGATAGCATTCACCAAAAATGGGAAATTTCTTTGCTTTTTTTCGATTTGAAGTTGCTTGTTTTCTGAACATGCATGGGTTCATAGAGCAGCTTTCAAAAATTTATGAAGTCATTTAGGGAACTTTTACTGATCACTTCGCAAAATCTTCCATTTACAAAGGTCAACATATGTATTTTAGGAATATCCTCTTATAACCAGCTGGCATAAAAAGTCAAAACTGCGCTTTAATGGCTTCTATGGCTCCTAAAATACGAGAAAATTTGGTAATGACTCATGCTGATCAAGAAAAAATATGTCCAGTTGTATTTATGGTACGATAGAATATCAAAATTACATTAATTATATACAGTCAGTTGCGTTGCAAAATGGTCAAAAGCTCATGAGAAGAGCATCTACACTTCAACCGGATAAGGCATCAGCACACATAGGCCCCATCATAGGTAGAACCGGTACTGGTCCGTAGTTTTGACCATTACTGTACTGGTTTCATGTCGGTCTCTCCACTGATACACTGTTGTTGGTTCCAGCTGAAATCTGACGAAGGAAATCTCATGAAACCAGGGGCATTTACCAGCCGCTGTTATTTATATAAATTTTATGTTTTTATGTGGCTAACCTGTCAACGATCACTGAAGTTTAGTACCGGTCTCGTCTAGCTTTGATTGGCAGATCGGTTTGGACTGGTACCGGTCTGAAAAGAAACCGGATCGATTTCATCTATAGTCTGTATAGGCCAATATAGTGCAAAGATCAATTTTCGTTTTTTGATCGAAGCCAGGTTGGTCTTTGAGTTCACTTAACCGCTAACCGCTCGAGTATCTGTTTTTGCGTAAAATATGTGTGAAGGTGAAATTAAACCGAACAGCAAACAATAAGACCTTCTTTTCCTAATATTTATAAATGGGTGAAGAAAATCTGAATGAAAGTTTTGCGTTATACTGTGAACACTTATACTAACTATGCCTAGCAACTGTTAAAATCCTAGTATAAAAAGATTTTTCAAACAGAATATGTATTTCGCAAGAATATGAAATTATCTGTTAACTGGCTATAGAATAAACTTTTCGAGTCAAAAAGAAGAAGATCACTAGGCTAGGCGCAAATTAGTCTGTCTGATCCACCCAATAGTGTATCATTAAATTTTTGCAAGCATATTGGGAAGGAGTATTGGCAAATTGCTACGGAACTCTCCAACAATGTTTCTTAAAAACAAATTATCAAATCATATACCTGCATTTCCAATAATACAAAATGGTTTGAGCCCTTTTTCCCGATCTTCGCGAATTGCTGTCCTCAAAGCGGAAATTTCGATACAAAATGTTTCATCAACTGGTATAAAATGCAATGCATCTGAACCAAGTCCCAACAACTGAAATGCTTTGATGATACAACCATGCGTCTCGGTCGATGCATACGCAACTAAATTTGAACTATTCCCAAGCCCTTCATTTCGAACATTTACTAACATCCGTTGGCGAGCTGTTGCTATACTTATGATTGTGGCTATCGAAGTCCCGCTAACAAGTAAACCGCCAGCATTTTCTTCTGGGAATCCAAAAACTTGCAGCATCCAGTTGATTACAGCTTTTTCGATGCATGCAGCACTGTGAACATTCGTGCAAACGTTGATATTCAATGATGCAGAGATCATATCTGCTAGAACTCCTCCGACTGTGCCTTCGCCTTTCACCCATCCCCAAAATCGAGGATGAAGATTAAACTTATTCAAAAATTATTAGAACAGAACATTAATCGGTATACTACTCGACCCCTTGTGTTTTTTACGATTGCACGTGGTGTTGCTTCAGTTGCCCAGGTCAATTCTGCGCGACTGTAAACGGTCGTGACCTCGTCAATCACGATGAAAAACGGCAATAGTTTACGAGCACTATTTGCGGCCATCGTATACGATGTGTCACGGTTTATTACGGTCGCCGTTTACGTCAAGCTTAAGTATACAGCAACCGTAACGGCGATCGTATAATATCGTAAGACGTCGTATAGATCAGCTGTAAAACGTTAGCTTGATGTTCACCGTTTTCAATCGTGCTACCTCATAAACAACTGTTTTCGTTAACGTCCTCTTCTTGTTCAGTGTAACGGCGGCTTCATAATTCGTAGCATATAAACGACTGTAGCCAACAAGTCTGGTTTTTCGAAAATGTGTGGAGGCGAAAAAGTACGATATTCAAATACAGATCTCATCAAGGGAGAAGCCTCATTAAGCCATTTCAAAAAGCTTCCATTCATCATCAGCTATAATAATCCGTTGGAGTGCAGTATAATGGTTGTAAATGAAGCTTTTAGTGGGAGACCATTTCGAGCTGGTTTTTATTTTTCACTTTCCCAATTGAAATGTCATGCTCTTCAGCAGCCATGACATCAGATAAAAAACATTTACAACTTGCTGATTAAGCCTTCCGAATCGGCTTTTCTCATCCATCGCCTCAAAGTCATACAAAGATGAGTTTCCTCGAAAAATTGCTTTTCAGAGCACAACAACAACTATACCTTTGCGATGCTCTATTTAAGATTTAGCCGATCTGTACGCATTCTTCAGTGATGGGTTTCATCAAAATGTTTTTCACCATGAAGCCCTAAAGTCACTACGGACATTCTTTCAATCAAATATAGCAAGAAATGAGCAATTACAAACCTTCTGTCACAGACGAAAGAGCAGTTTCATACAAACTGAACAGATTCATTGTGTTATAAACCCATTAAAACAAATTTTGAAAGATAGTTGCCTTTTTGAACGGCTGGAGCTGCGATTTAGATTACACTGAATATAGAAAAGAGCAAAACGTCATCAGAAAATCGTATACAGATAAAATCAAGGGGGAAAGTGCAGGTTTGGAGTCCCCAGCATCTCAGCACCTTCGGCACCTTCTTGATGCAGAAGTGTAGCTCATTCACATGTAAATGATTTATGCAAACGAATTTTATTTTCAATAATAGAGATGAAATTTTACTTCAAATACACACATAATTCGATAACAACAGAAAACGGTGTCAAAATCGCTTCATAATATGAAATTAAAAAAAAGAGTTTTTAAAAATGATTCACATTTCGGATGTGCGAACTCGCACTAGCCGGTCACTTGATAAGTGGTTTCGGTTGTCTGTTAACATCCAACAGGCCGTCTGTTTATGTATATATTTCAATGACGAACCGATTTAAATACGAAAATATTGTTTTGCTTTGTTGAAGATTAATTTTATCGTAGATTCGGCAACCATGAAAAGTTTGTCGTTCAACGTCAGCTAGATCACTAGCAATAACATTTTCTTCTTCTTTTTCACCAGTACTATTCGCTGATATTTGATCTATATCATCAGACATCGATGAATCATTGCCATCATCTTGTAGATTATCTTCGTCACTCTCATCATCAAAATCAGAACCTTTCGTATAATCTATTACTTTTGACGACGATTTACTGATATTTGTTTTTATGTATTGACTTAGTTCGGAGATGGAATATTTATGTTCATTTTTCAATAGTCGTTTCATGTTCACGATTTCAATATTTTGTTTAGCTGATTCAAATGCACTTAGTATGATTTTTTCAATATCAGATTCCGTTAAATTTAAATGTTGGATAGGATTTATTGAATAATTGTTAGCTTCCTTTTCAAGTTTATGATGTTGTGGAAATTTAAAATGGTATTCACCAATCTGTCCACCACGAGATTTAATGGAATTGATAATCAATATTTTTTCGCATTTCTTCGTAAACGACTTAACAGTAAAATTTGTAATTGAAGAATATGGGCCTGATAAGGCACGAGTTATACGAAAAGTATTTTCACATGTTTTTGTGAATTAAAAAGATATGAATTAAGTGCATCAATAGGTCGTTTTCTTTTAATAACTAATAAAACAATGTAAAGTAAGGTGTGAGCATTAATTTCTATACACCAAAACGTTGGCTTGGTAATAAAACTATTAACTTTAATATTATCTATTGTTTCATTATCATTATCATCGTAATTAATTTTTAGTTTCGAATACTGTAACCATGTCCACCAAAACCTACACGTGAATACCACACTCCATGCGTGATACAAACGCTCTTCGATTGTTGTTGATTTCTCTATTAATCCTGTTATAATTGACCGTAATAATGAGAAATAAATGTATGTTCCTTTACAATCCTCCATCTTATTTAATAACTGTAGAACTAATTCGGATGATATTCGTCGACATGAAGCATAGTTTTGCCTGTCTTTCGGACAGATATCACTTTTAATTAAATTATGTTCGATTTTGTTTTTTGATTCTATCAAATTAATCAAATGGTCAATACTAACATGATAGTCGCCTATTTTCATAGATGCTATTTCAGAAAGTAGTCTATTCCGAAATTTTGTCTCAACATGAATAGGATCTTGCATGAAAAGTAAAATTTGTTGTCCACTCATAAAAAACCAAGACCATCGCTCAGGTATCTGTAAATGAAAATTATCTTTTTTGTTTAACAAGATTTAAATTAGGTAGTTGTGCAAAAAATCGAGTACATAATCGCATTGCCCTAAGATAACGAGCGTCACAATCACTACTGAATCCTATCGCCCGGACACCTTGACATAAACATTGATTGTAGATATATAACCATTTTTTTAAAACATCAGTTGCAGTAGCCTTATTATTTGATCCGTAAGTCGATAAAATGAATGGAGATGACGATGGTGCTACAGACTGTATCATATGTAGATTAATGTATGCCGATTTATCAAATGTATCGAACCACAATTTCAATTCATGGAATTTATTCGTCTGGAAAAAATTTGGTTGTGGTAATCCATTGACTAAACATGAAGAAAAACCAATAAAACTATCCGATTGTGCATCATAATCAATACGAGATATACAATGTGTGGCATCTTCGGACGAAAATACATAATTATAATTATTAGATTGACAATATTCTTTTATCAGTTGCAAACGAAATTCGCATTCAAGTATTCTTTTTTCATTGTTTCTCATCAATAATTCAACATTAGATACATGAGGTAAAGCATCAGGTAAATTTAATCGAAGAAATTCATAACAATTTCTACCACCAAGAATAAATAATAACAGGGCAAATTGTTGAATAAGATAATCATAAGCAAATTTATTCTTTTGTTTTTTAAAATTTTCAAAAGTATTTTTCATCCAAGGAATAAGTATAGGAATATCGCTCATATCGGAAGACATACGTCTTTGTTTCCACATTTCTGTTAGTTTACCTAGCAGATCATGTTCCAAATGGTCAGGTTTTAGTTCATAGTTTTTTACGTAAGAATTTGTTTTAGATTTTGCTAATGAAATTAAACGTTCAAGTGTAACTCTAAATCCAATTCGAAGATGAAATTTCCCATCAGTTGATACAAAGCCAAGTATTCTTTTAATAGAACTTAATTCCACAATATCATAACTAAGTACTGCTGTTAATTCATCTACTGTTATGGATGATAAAGAAGACATATCTCGAATGGATTGTAATCGAAAAAGCTCGCATAAATCTTTATTCAGAGCAGTTTCTAAGAAGACATAAAAGTCATCGTGAGATAAATTCATCATATCATCTGTTAATTCTGTTAGTTGAAGAATATCCATAGCTACTATTTAATTATCAACAGCTGCGTGAATACAATTACAACTTGTAATCGAAACTGAATCACATTAATATCCCTAAAAGTCTAGAATTTTACTCACCTTGTAATACAATGTATTACAATGTAATCCTGTAACAGCATATATGTCTAAGAGCATGTATGTGAATATTTGTAGTTGTTGGATTAAAGGGTTAAGTATTGGTGTCGGTTTTTTAGCAGATTGTGTCTATTCACGACCTTACATATAAGAAAGTTTATGTGCTGTGTTTCAAGAATATGTTATCTTTCATGGTATATGAGTAAATGGGGTGTAACCAAGGGGGAAACAGTTGACTTTTTTGATATAAATCAAAAGCAAAATAAAAGAATAAAAAAAATCAGAAAAATCAGAAAATCAATGAAGATGATAAAATTTTTAATCCTTGTTCTTCAAAATATCAATCTAAGGTGAAACAGCTGAAATCTGATTTTTTTATTTTTCTGATTTCGTTTTGTTTTTTCTGATGTTTTTGATTTTGTTTTTATTTTTCTGATTTTCGTTATTTAAAATAACTCGGTTTTAAATTAGAAAAATCAAGAAACAAAATCAAAAAAATCTGATTTCAGCTGTTTCCCCCTTGGGTGTAACAGAATAATGTTACATAGCGAAACAAGAAACAAAACAAAAACTGGTGTATTAGAGTTGAGAGAGGATAGTAGTGATTAGTGAAAGTCTTTTCAAGTGTATATGTTTCCATGTTGGAATGTACAATTTTTCATTGAAGAATTAGAATGTTCTAAAAGAATGAAACAGTATATGCATGTGCTTCGATTATGTTGAATTTGGTTCATGTTTCCATTGCGTTGATGGTTGGAGAAGGCTTTGTTGTCCCTGGGGTGCTTGTATGCAATTGTTGTGTTCGTGATGTGTCGTCAATATTATTTGTATGTACAAAAGCTCTGTGGAAAAGATGCATATGATAAAATGTTTGCTATTGTTCAACAAAAAGAAATTGATTTTATATATAAAAGAATGTCAATAGTACAGAAGTTGATTAATAATGTTCATGCACAAAAGTGGTGGAATAGTTATCAAAATTTCTTAGAATGTCGCGTACACAAATTGTAAGAAAACTACTGTTGGCTTGGACGTCAGACTTCTCGAGTTTAAAATACCTTAGTTCGCTGTTTGCATTGAGATCATTTTTCAGCCTATTAAGATCACTAATTAATGTCGATATTTTCATAATCTCACAACATCGTTTTGGTAATGTTGCTCATACAGTGCTTGCATAAATCCTATTATGATAGTTCTTTAAGTCACACAAAATGATTTACAGTCGCAGCTGTAAAGTATTCTAAGTCGAAACTTCTTGACAAGAACTTACGGCATCTTAAGTAATCATGCAGCTATTCGACATTTAGAAACCCCTCCCTACTCAGATGATGTATAGATATTAGTACCACCGTTCATAAATAAACAGAGCTTTCTTTTCATAAAGGTCTGCTTCAATTAATTTCGTTGTTGTAGATTTTCCTAGAATCTTGAGAATTTTTATGAATTACTGTTATGACAATGAAACTTTGATTATTTCTTTCTCACTTATCTAATGACCAGATTTATCTATTTTTATAATAGTTTCATGAAAAGCAAAAACAATGCAACAACAGATCAGAGACGTGCACAGGGCAGGGCGGTCCTGGTGTCCTGTCCTGTAGGACAGGATGATATTTCGATTTCTGTCCTGTCCTGCCGCCCGTCAGGACCAAGGTAGCCATCAGGACAGGCAAGGACAGGATAGAAAATTATGCCCTGTGCACGTCTCTGGTCGAAAGACAGTTTTCGGAGGCCGGGCTGATTACAAATGAACGACGAACAAACCTTAAACCAGAACAGCTTGGTAATGTTTTATTGATTCGATCAATGCAAAAGAACAAAATAACTGTATAAGAACTTTTTTATGTATATTTTTCATTTTTTTGTTTTGTCGTAAAGCACTGCCTATTTGTTAGCGTTTCTTTAAATAGATCAAGTTTAAATTGTCATATTCATGTTACAATCAATCTTGTTCAAATTTTTTCTATTTTTGTCTTCTCGCGAAAATTAAGATATTTTTCTATTTTATTGTATTTATAAATTAGTGATAATTTAAAGTCTATTTATTGTATTTGAAAATGATGTCGAATAAATTAAGCCTAAGATTACAAATACTAATATTTACTTTGATTGGCAACACCTAGGGTTCGGACTCCGAATTTCAGACTCATAATTAGATTTCAGTCAGTAGAAAAATCGTAATAAATCAGTAACATTAACCAGGACAAGGCTTTAACGTATTGTCCTGCCGCCCGCCAGGACGACGATTACCGCCAGGACAAACACGCACAGGGTAAGTTTTCGATTTCTGTTCTGTCCTGCCGCCCGCCCGCCCGCCAGGAGCAAGGTAGCCAACAGGACCGGCAAGGACAGGAGAGAAAATTATGCCCTGTGCACGTCTCTGCAACAGATATCAAAGGTTCCTTCAAATTTTTAATTTGTTGACTACAAAATGTACTTATAGAAATCATTCTTGCTCTGAATATGGAACAGCGTGCAATCGACGTGACACATTTTGTAACTAATTGAATAGATTAATATTGGTCATTTTGTAGCAAATGAAAGAGAAAAAGGTCAAAAAAGGTAATGAATACGAACTACACCACCATTATCTTTATCTTCAAATCATTTGCAAAAAATTAGCTCAGAGATTTAAGGAAAAGGACGGTTGCTACTTTTTATTTCTATATAGAAGTTATTAATTGAAAATGGTTTGCTCTGTATCGATTTATTCTTATATTCTACATCGCCTTTTTTTCTTATTGTTGTAGTATAATCATGCATTAATAAATATGAACAGATTCTAAATACAAATAAAAGCAAAAGGACGATGAGCAAAGAAAACTAATCTCAATATTTCGTTGAATCTTATTCTCTTTGCAAGTATTGTATTACTCTACTGTCTTAAATTCAATTACCCAGGTCGAGAAATCCCACACCGAATCCGATAGGAACTTGATAGTATCCTACCATCCGACAGAGTCTTATAGGATTCCGGGTGGAGGATCCGACATCGATTCCTCGACCCGGAACTCAACGATAATTCTGCAAGATCTGACAGGATTCGATAAAATCCTGTTGGATTCCAGTCGGATAGGATGGGTTCCGATAGGTGCCTACTGTCAGATTGCTCGACCTGGGTAGTTATATCTGTTACAGAAATATCATATTAACAATTAGTGATAGCCATTTACGTAATTGTTTATTTATTCATTTTTTTTATCGCTTTAATTTATCACTACTATATGTGTAACTGTGCATGCACCAGATGATATTTTGAACTATATTGAAATTCTAAAGTTACATAGTTTGGTTTCTAACTGGTTCCTATTATTTAATGATAATTTAAATTGTTTCTATGTAGGCGATTCGTTTTCAGAAATTTATTCACATTTTTATTTTTCTTCCTTACACGATTTCTCCCTATTTTCATTCTCACTCTTTGCTCATTGCACAATACAATGCGTTACGTGTTTTTGTTCACATCACAATTCATATGGTTTCTCGTTTCGAGTTATATTCGTTTTTTAACTTACTATTGATCATTATCTTTCTATTTTCGAATAAACTTGCTCATATTTTGATTTAAGGGTTCTTTTTTCCCTACATTTTCTATTATCCACAAACGACACTAATCTGATTGTGTTTTGCTACTTATCATTACCTTATCTTATTTTTTGTTTCAGAGTTTTTCATTTTATATTCGGTATACTGATTCTCAAGATTTAATCGTCGTTAATTTTTAATTTCAATTTATTTTAGTTTTAGAAAGACTATCATATTCGAAATTAGTTAATTAAAATAATTTCTATTCATGTTTATTTTCCAGTAGATTTTTTAAACATATTTTTAAAATTTTCATTTTATTGTATCCCTTTATTTTAGATGACTCAATATTGTGTATTTATTTGTTCAGTCCATTTGATTACATGTATACGCATTTGTTGTATATAACGGGTGTCCCAGAAAGAATGGCACTCTCAGTATTTTACTGATATCTCAATCAATTCGTACTCGTTTGGGCTCAATATTTTTTTCAATGGATTCACCTTCAAATTCTCTACAAAATAGTATGTTTTTATTTATTTAAATAACATTCATCATTTTTGAAGACACGCTGCAAACGAATAGTCCAATATGAGCAACTTTGTAAAATAACATCTTGTCGAATTTCTTTAACTGCACGTTTCAGTTCTTTGATAAGGGTGGTTTTTGATATCACTGTCTTCCAGTTGATAGCTCTTGCAAATTCGTCCCATATAGAATAGTCGAATAGATTTAAATCTGGGCTATTAGGTGACCAATGATCTTTACCTATGAATGATGGAAATTTATCCTGACACAACTTTTGTGTTAGGTGATGGACATGAGGTTTCGCACCATCCTGTTGAAATATCCAGTGTTCTCCGAAGATCTTACTTCCAAATTCTAGTGCTACTGGTAGAACATTCTGGATATATACTTTGTGATCTACTGTTCCTTGGTCGAAAATGGCCAAGGGTGTTACTCCTTTAGAGCAAACAGCCAGCCGGACCATGACCTTTTTAGGGAACTTCTGTTTCATTTTGATGCCACCTTTTTCGTTTGCTTCATCACGACTAGCCACCCAAATACGCTGGTTTTGGGAATTATATATGCCGTCGACATCGAACATTTTTTTCTTCTGAATATAAAATTCGCATCGTGTCTTCTTTTCGAAAATTATTATACACCTAGTTTGTAAATTTCTTTCGCTTGTCCTTTTGGTTTTTGGTGAGCTTTGGTTCAATTACTATCTTGTAGGCGTTGAGTTCCAAATCTTCCCTGATAATTCGATGAGCACTAGGGGTGGGCCATTAACATTAATTTTATATTAATGTTAATGTTTCTCATTAACCATTAATATTAATGCTTAATGTTTTCTAAGAAAAACTTATTAATGAAAAACATTAACATTAATTTTAAAATTAATGTTTTCATTAATCATTAATATTAATGTCAATGTTCTTAAATGATATTAACGGTTAAAGGAAACATTCACCATTAGTATGAATAGTAATGTTTTCGTTAATATTAGGGATTATATTTTCATTAATCATTAATATTAATGTTAATGTTTTCATGAAAACATTAATTTTTCCATATTACTGAATTAGGCTTTTCTAAGGAAACATTATCTACAATTATTAATCAATTAACTGATCTTAATAGCTAATGTTTTCTCCGAAAGTGTTAATTACTTAATATGGAAAGTTATAATGCTTCCATGAAAACATTAACCATTAATATTAAGTCATTTATTTTAATGAAAACATTAACATTAATATTAATGATTAATGAAAATATAATCCCTAATATTAACGAAAACATTACTATTCATACTAATGGTGAATGTTTCCTTTAACCGTTAATATCATTTGAGAACATTGACATTAATATTAATGATTAATGAAAAAATTAATTTTAAAATTAATGTTAATGTTTTTCATTAATCATTAATATTAATGAATTAAGTTTTTCTTAGAAAACATTAAGCATTAAGATTAATGGCTAATGGAAGTCATTAATTAATGTCATTAATTAAGTTCCGTTAAAAAAAATGGTCCACCCCTAATGAGCACTTGATTTGGATATGTTGTAGCCTATGCTCAAACTTTGTGCAGATACCAGCTTGTGTTGATCGAGCTTGTGCTTGACTTTTTGAATAGTTTTACTCGTTCGAGCAAGACGCGGAGCCTCTGGTGACCTTGATAGCTGGATAGAGTCGGTGTCACGGATCATTGTGCACCACCTATTTACAGTACGCAATCCTACAAAAACATTCAGATCACGAAAGATTTTCGTGGGGCCATCACCTGTTCATATTTACAAAAAAAAATAGTTTTCGTAGATCTTTACTTTGCATGTTATAGCGTAGACGATACACTTCTGAGAGAAACGCGAATTATACTTAGGGCATACCAAAAGTAAATTTTTTTTGGGATAAAACTGTTCAAGATAGAGCTAATCAAGTTTTTATTTCATCAAATGTTCGAAGTAGTTCCCATGGTTATACACACATAATTTCATCCGTACAATCCATTTAGCAAAAGTTTTTTTATACTCATCTTCGTTAATCGAAAACATGACTTTGGTTACGGCACGATGTAATGATACTGAGCTTCTTTGATCTGTTAGATTTTGTTTGATCGAGTCGAATAACCAAAAATCGCACGGTGCGAGGTCCGGAGAATTCGGTGGTTGTAACATTTTCATAATGCCTTGTGATTCGAGATAAGTAGAAACATCTTTATGAACATGGGGTCTCGCATTATCGTGATGAATTTTAATTGCATGTGTGCCTGATAGCGGTCTTTGCTTTTTGATTTCGTTGACACGGGGTTGTAAACAATTATTGATGTAGTAGTCATGATCAATAGTTTGCCCTCTTTCCACATGATGGATTAAAACAGGGCCGGTGGTCTTGAAGAAGATACAATATAATGTTTTTGGAGCGAAATGACTGCGTCGAACTACAGTTGGCGGAGTTTTTCCACTTGCTGTCCAGGCAGCATTGGATGACTTTCGTCCAAGTTGTTTGTGATAAAACCATGACTCGTCGCCTGTCACTACGTCACATAACCGCCAGGTTCCTTGATTAAATTTTGCTAAATTTTCTTGACATATTCGAACACATTCAGCTCGTTGAGAATCGGTGAACTGGCTGGGTATCCAGCGAGTGGTAATTTTTTTCAGCTTGAGATGGTCAGAAACAATTCGCTGGGTGGTACCGTGACTGAGCCCAGTTTCGACTTGTATTTCATCAATAGTATGATAAGGATCATTATCAATAAGGTGACGAACTTTTTCAATATTGTCGGATGTTGTCTCAATTACAGGTCTACCAGGTCGTGGTTCATCTTCAACTTCTTCCCGACCTTCACGACATAATTTTGACCATCTTACAACCGTATTGTAAGATGGAGCTTGGCCCCTCAAAGCTGTACATAAATCGTCAAAGATGGATTTCGGCTGCATGTTAAGTGCAGTACGCACTTTAATATAGGCACGAATCTGTTCTTTATTCATCTAAAAATGGGTGTACAGTTTCTATTGCATTTTTCTCATATAATAATAGCCCCTGGTAAATGATGACTCATTGAAGAAATATAGAGCACTGTTTCCTCTACAAGTAAGTATAGGGAAAAATTTGATTTGAGCGTTCCATAGGGTCCATATAATACCAGCACCACTACTTGTGGTATGCCCTAAGTAGATCTTTATAGAAGATCGCAAGACGAATCTTACAAAAAAAGTTAAACCTTAACGAATTAGAATTGAGGAAGATGTCAATAAAATACTGAGAGTGCCATTCTTTCTGGGACGCCCGTTAATAAAACCAGCAAATCTTACTTTTTATTACTGACTCTATAGCATGTTTGAGCGCATGTAGATATCAACTTATAACGCTAAGTGTATTTTCTCATCTCGACACCGTGATAGATGTATACTAATTCAACAAAACGTTCCAATATCTTCGAAAGTAAGAATATTGTTTTATTGAGCTAATCGCAAGCAATAGAATCCAATGTTAAAGTGTATCGATAAAACTAAATTGTAATTATTGTGTAACCAGCCTTAGATATTCAACAACATTAGGTGTATGTGTATAGATTATAGACTTTCGAGAAAAAGAGCTTAATTGAAGAAGATGTCTTTAAAGTGTAGAAAGTTTGGAAGCAGTCAAAATTCTGTAATTTGTGTTGTATATAACTGAAAACTTTTCAAACAAAAGAAAAGGATCACAATGATAACATGCTTATAATCTTAGTATGCGATGTAGAATGATAAAAATGGTTTCTAAAGTGTAAAGAAAAGAACTATTCTTATAAGAGTTCACTGTTTCCAATGATGTTCTATGTTTGTGTTAGTATCAAAAGCTTTTCAGTTACATAAAATAAACTTGACGTATCTTTCAAAATGGCAATTGTATTCTTACTTTGTGGTAATCGTACAGCGTGTTTTCGACAATATTCATATTCGTCTTCACAGGTATTCCGTTCGCAATTCATAATATGGAACAAGATCAAATATGTAATCCGAATTTTTTTCCAGAGTATGATGATAAAGAATTATGATATTGTTTCAGCACACTGTTGCGTTGTTCTGCTGCTTCTGTGTTGATTTTTTTAATGTTTTCATCATTATACATGAAGTTGAAGTTTCTCTTTTTGTGACACATGGGCCGTTTATGATTCGTTTGGTGAAAACGGCCAATGAAAAATGAACATTTGGCAACAAAATCGGATGATAGCGTTTTCAATATTCTTCGATTCATGCTATCCTTGCCGTATCGGTTCCAGAAGTACATGAATAAGCTACATGCATTATCATAAATTATAATGTTAGGTAATTAGATCTTTATGATATTGAAGGTCGATTGATCCAATTATTTTAAAAAAATGCCACAATGTCATATAACAAGATTCAGAACGAAAAATTTCGTCAAATCCAATAACTATGCCACATGGAGATAAGGTATATATTATACCTTGAGACGTTTTTCTTTCGACATCTACGAAACTAAAAGAAAAAAAGAAAATTTTATATAGTGGTATAACTGTACTCGATATTTTTATGATCAAACAATTATGCTGTATTTCACAAATGTCAGCATTTTCATTCAAATCCCAAAATAGTTTCAGTTGCGGAGTCGAAATAGTCAGTCTAAGCTCTTGCTTCGTCGACAGAAAATTACTAACCCAGTAATAAAATTGATCATTAAAGAGTCGTATTTATAATATGCCTACAGATGATAGAAAAGCTATCTGCACAGTAAATTCATACTTTTACTGTGAAATACTATCCTAAACTACAAATAACCTCGGAAACTTGCATGAGTTTTCAAACTTGAAATCAATCTGTCGGAATAATCCAAAGCCTATGCTATAGAATTATAAAAAATTCCAGCTTAAAGTTGAAACAGAATATGAACAATGCCTTGAAAATTTCTAATTGAGAAGTTCTGATGTCATCTTATCAAATGATTACAGCACTAGAGTTTGGTATAGCCAAATGAAGTATACTAAATTATTTCTCATGGTGATTGAGAAAATAGAAGCATGTGTAGATTGAGTCTTTAAAATGAAACTCAGTCGTATTAATCAATGGGAGATCAACAACTCAATTTGAAAACTAAGTCGAGCGGCTGTACGTTAGGGCACGTCGGTCCTAAATTTTCAGACCCGAACCCGGACCCGGACCCGATTTACTAGGCATCTTTCCGCCCCGGACCCGGACCCGATATAAAATCTTTTTCGAAATCGAAATCACCTGCATTGTGAATATTTTTCATACGTTGTTCTTATCTGATCGTAATAATCACTTTAGAAATAGCAAATATTTTCTTCAATTATGCATATTGATTATTACAGCACCCTATAAATTTATCCACTTATTTTTATTTTCGTGATAATCTGTGATCAAGTTGTAACTGGCTGCAGCTCTTGACCAATAGTTTATAATGTCATTATGAACCTCTAGATAAAGAGAACTGTATCAGTGTTTCTAATGGCAAGTGTACACAGCACAAGCAAAATGTACAAACATTTGCTGGATTTTTTGGACCCGGACCCGATTGAATGTAAATTCTTAGACCCGGACCCGGACCCGACGGGCTCTACCGAACATTTAACATCATTTCATTTATCGTCACTTCATATCAAGTTAGAATAATAAGAACTACGGTATTTCTATTATGGAAGTTTCAAGGCCAAAATATTATTCACATTTATTGGATAGACAAAAAATTAACAAAATTCTCATTTCGCAGATAAAATTTCGCTGCTGATATCTAAATTATTTGCTGCGAAGATTCATTTTACCACTCTAAACGTTAATAATATTACTTAGTAATCCAAAAGATTTTAGAAAATTTTCATGTGCAACTAAGTTATCTAACATACCGATCTTCTCGAGAAACATTACATCCTGTTGTTGGATCATCGTAGATACCAAGGTCATCGTTTGTGACTAGCAATTTATCTTTATCGGGCACAATTTTGTGCTTTTGACATGATTCACATAAATCTGTTGTCCATTTAGGGGTATTTCCACAACCGACATACAAAAAATCTGGAAATTCATTGCATCTTTTGTCTCGCTTGAGATTAGACGTACACACGTTTGCTTACATTCATTTTGAATCGTTATCTTCCTTCTCCTTCTGGTTGTTGATGATGAGGAGAGGAGCGAACATGAATTGTAGTTTCAATAATGAAAGCTCATTAACTAATCAACAGCTAAATAATAATCATAGTATGATTAATACTAAACATAAGAGAAGAGGTAAAACTACTACCGATATCAATGATACAACATCAGAGTACAATCTAGAAGAAATGATCGATTTTATTCGTCAGAACCCTACAACAGCACTTGATGTGCACAGACATCTTACTCAAGCAGCACAGCGGATTAATCCAAATTTCAACCTGCCAATTGAATCTTCTACACTTCAAACGCCAAAACGAAATTTGGATACGAGTGAAAATGACGATGTTCAAGTACTAAAATAACAACGTGTCTTATCAAACGGAAAGCAAAGGGATGTTGGGCACGTGAATCCATCAAAAGCCAGGAATATAGGACGTCCATTGGAAAACAATGTTGCACTAAATCAATTTCAACATCCAACAGTAGTACAAAGCCAGGATCATTTTACATTCGATCAGTTAAAACGTGCTGCTTCAAGCAATCTACCTTGCTTCTTAATCGAATATTCAGAGGACATTAATGCGAAGAAAAGACCATCGGATCTTACAGCAGCAAGTGCAATTGAAAATCATTTCAATCAACGGGGGTTGTCGATTAAATTTTCGCTTATTGGTCATATAGGTAGTAAGTTAAAACTGGGGGTGAACGAAAAAGACGCTTATGCAACCTTGATTTCAACCGATCAATGGCCAACACAAGTCAACGGGATTAATATCACGGCAATGAAACCGAAATGTATTCCAGATTCTTGTGCTCTCGTAGTTCATTACGTTCCTCTCCAATACAACGACGACTTTGTATCCGAAGAAATCGTACAAAACATCCAATCAGCAGAGATTATCAGACAAATTCAGTATCGTTTTCAAAGAAAAACAAATGATTTTCGTTTTGTTGTTAAAGATTTCGATGAATACAATTCAGTTCTAAAATTAGGGCGTATTTCAATCGGTAACTAATTTTGCATAATTACTCCGTTTTTGGCAGGAAATCGAATGACATTCTACGCACGTTGTTGGTGCCTAGGTCACATGAGAGCAAAGTGCAACTCGGAACATCAACGATGTCGTATCTGTCTCAACAATATTACTGATCGGGAATCGCACGTTTGTTCAAATATTACTCGCTGCGCACAGTGTGATGGTGACCATCACTCTTTATCGAATTTATGTGGAAAAAATAGTTGAATATCGAGCTCTATTAAAGCAACAGGTTGATAATACGCTATCAACAGGGAAATTACAGCGATTGATACCACAAGATCGTCATCAACCCGTAAAATTAAAGATAAATTCTAATGATCTTCCAACATTATCATCTCCGTCAAAAGGAACTACTCCTTGGAGATTAGCGTCAGCACAATCGCAGATAGCAACCATTACGAAGGAAAATGAAGAACCAACAAGAATGTTATTAGAGATAATTAAGAATATTTTAGAAATGAAGGATTATACCCATAGTATGAATGATAAATTGGATCGGATTAATGAGAGAGTCAACAATAAAGCTCTCGATACAGAATTGCATCATGAAACTGTTAAAATTACTACCTAATCTCGTTGAAATCATAGAAAAATTCATATGGCCGATTACGAGTCATAAAGTGGCAGGATTGAGAGAAAAACAGCCGCATTTGCAAAAATTATTTCATGGATTGGAATCAACTTTGTCTTATCTTAAGTCGGACTATTCGTCACGTCGTAAACGTGTTTCATCCCCACCTCCACATCTTTCTCCATCGCAAGATAGTACAACAACATCCAACAAAACAGTAATTAATGCTTCAATCCAGAATAAGAGCAGCTAGATGAGTACAACTTTTTCTAAATTGAGCGCAGCAACAAAACCGTTCTATCCATCAAGCATAAATAATTTAAAAGAAATAGCGATGTGTCAAATTCGTCAATGGAGTTTCAAAACAAGTGATCAGATATTAATAGATGCAGTTCTCACAGAGTGGTTAACGGCTGGAACCTTAGAAAAAGCTCTTAAACAATGGGAAAATATAACTACTGAAGAATCTGTAACAGGACAAGCCTCGTTAAATATTTTTTGCTATAATGTACAAGGGTGGGGATCAAGAAGTTTAGAAGTTACTAAAATAGTTTTTAAAATAGAAGCTCCGATAGGTGTCTTTACGGAATTTGACGAGTTGTGGAATACATCTCGTATGCCACATTTCAATATTTTTCATTAAGGAGGAACTAATAAAAGTGGAGGAGTCTGTGTTGCAATCAGAAAACATTTAAAAGTTTGTCGTGTTAGTTGTAATATCGATAACACAGTGATCGTAGACGTTATCGGTCTCTCGGAAATAATTAGGATTATCGGTATGTATTGGCCAGCAGGCCAAATGAGAGGGTTAGAAGAATTAGATTCTTTTATTATCAATAATACAATTATCATGGGTGATTCTAATGCATCTATTAAAGAATGGGGCAGTGAGTCGTCAGATAAGAGAGGCAAATATTTGAAAGCATGGATAGAAAGAAATAACCTTTGTTACATTTCAACGACATTGCACTCATCGAAACGTTCGAACAGAAATATCGATTTAACTTTTACAAACATAGGTTAAACGAGAAGAGAAGCATTGAAAACTGGCACCAGTGATCATTGGCCACAGATGACAACGTGTGAGAATGTCAGTTTTGACAAGAATAGAATGTTCTCATATGTAAATTGGAAAGTATATGAAGCCGTTCTCAAGTTGTTACAAGACTTTTGGATAAGAGAACAAAGGATAGGAATTAAAGAGGGTGAATGGTACATAAATTACGTGCGTTTCCTTGCTGCATGAAAAAACAGACTTACTAAGTGGAAAGAAAAAGAAAAATTCCGACCAGCTTTGCCTTCTTATATCATTCAAAAGCTGAAAGAAGCGAAAAGAATAAGAAATGAATATTACCACGAAAAACGAAAAAATAATGTACATGAAGAGACACGAGTGTTGTTATGGGCACTCACACGCGAAGTCAGAATAGAAATCGCAAAATATGAATCGAGTAAATGGCATGAGTTTCTGTCTTCATTTCAAGAAGCACATGATAATACAGATAAAGCTTTCTGGTTACATCTGCCTACAGTTTATAAACGCAACTCACTGCCTTTTACAAAATTAGGTACAGGTAATACTGTGTTGTCAGAAGAAAAAGAAATAAATGAGGGACTCTTTAGATACTATTCAGAACAATTTAAAGCGCAAAATACAGATAAATCTGATCCCAATGAAGCTCAAATTGAAATTAAATATCAAGGTTTGTTGGATAAAACTTCTAGGTCATATGAAATAATCGAAAGAATGAGTGTTTTTGAATTAAAGAAACAGATTTCAAAATTAAACTAAAAAATCATCAGGTTTTGATACGGTTTCTAATTTTATAATCAAAAGTTCCACCAGGTTATATAAACTGTCTAGTCAATTGTTTAAATACATGGTTAAAGTGAATTCAAATACCCAGATTTTTGGAATCTAGCTAAAATACTTACACTAAATAAGCTAAAAGAAGGAATACCACGTTGTGAACAAACAAGACCAATTTCACTTTTAGCGGCATATTCGAAACTATTCGAGAAAATCGTTTTAGAGAGAGTGAGGTTCTGGGCAGAATCGAATAAATTATTACCTGAAGAACAGTCAGGTTTTAGACCTGGTTGTTTACTCCCAACGAGAGTACTTTCTATATACAAAGAAATTAAAAATAATATGACAGCTAATATTCCAACAGCTGCTATATATGTTGACTACCCAAAAGCATATGATATAGTATCGGATAAAGGTCTCATCGTTAAGCTCAACAGACTTAATATATTTGCTGGTCTATTGAAATTAATCATATCGTGGTTAAGTGATCGCTATGCATATGTAGTTTTTGGGAGTAGTAAATCAAACGCATTCCCCATACACCTTGGTTTACCACAAGGTAGCAATCTGAGCCCTTACATATTCGTAGTATTTCATTCCGACCTAGTCTCATGTATAGGTGCCCATTCAAGTCGCGTATTTGCCGATGATTTGAACGTATTAATAACCCCTCCAATCAGTCGAGATTTCGCACCGATGTTAAAATTCTTAGAAGAAGGAACACGAGTGTGTGGAAATATAGCAGATTACTCTGAGAAGTGGAAACAACCAATTAATTTTTCTAAAACAGTAGTCCAAATCTTTCACTCACAAGTGCAAGTCCCAGTCGTCAATATCTGCATGAAAAGTCATCAATTATTAGAAGTGAAGGAATTCAAATACCTTGGGTTTACTTGGACAAATAAAATGTCCTTGAAGCCGAATATTGATAAAGCACTTGAAAATATCCAAAAAACGTACTGTTAATTAAGATGGATCAAAGGAGGGAAAACATTATACAAAGAGGTATTACGAAAATGTTTTTTTGCATATAGCTTTCCTTATTTCGCCTGGTTATTTCCTCTTTATTCATTCCTGCCTATTACTCAAAAAGCATTACTTTTAAGGAAATTTAGAAATGGATTAAGACTAATTCATAGGTGTCCCTTTGCAAGAGCATCAGGACTCAAGCAAATAACAAACGAAATCTCCCTTGAAGAATATGTGAAAAAATATATTAAGAAAAGATTAGAAAGACTGCAGAAATCAGATTTAGTTCATTCTTTTTTTACAATGATATACTTTATTGGAACACATTTCAAAAGAGTAAGCGTGATAACATGGGACATTTTTTTCGAATGAAACGAGTCAGAAATTTACGTGAAAAACATAGATCCCTGCTTCTCGAATGGCTAGAGCTCTTAGATAACTAATTATAGCACAATGATGATGTTGATCACCAAAAAATGATTAAAATCCACCAGATTTGACTCCTCGTTAATTCAGTTCCATTACACTCTTTTTTACTTTATGGCATCATTTCTTCTTTCTTAATGCTTCCCTCTTACTTTTTTCTTTTTTCTTCTCTCTCTTTTGCTTTCTTTTTTCTTTTTCCTCTCCTTCTTACTATTCTCGTGTATCTTCGTTTTTCTTTCTTTCTGGTTCATACTTTCCGTAGGCTCTCCGTTTTTCATATTTACATTTTTATTATACAGTAGCTTTGATTGTATGCTTAATTTGCCTCTTATGCTTAAATTAGATGTCTCTACTAATTAAACTGCCTTAAACAAGCTTATTATCATTTGTAAGCACTTCCGAGTGTAACAGTAAAACGAGCGCAATTTAAAAACAAAAAATCTGGAAATTCTTGTGTTTTTATAAACTTATTCTTATTTTTACACAAAGGTCGTGCAACTTTTTGCATTCTGTCAATAACGAATGCTAGCATACATCCATTGATTTCACCAGTTTTGGTACGACATGGATGTGTTAAATGCTGATTAGACCAGTGTTGAACGAAAGTTTTGTACCAATTATCAAAATTGAGTTCAAAAAATTCATACGTGGATGAATCCTCTAGTAGGTAAGGTATTTCAAACTCTTTTGAATCGGACATGAAGAATGTAAATAA